GATTGAGAACATATAAAAAACCAAAGAATTTGAAGTTAATAATAAAATTCAGTTCTTAACTTAGAAATATAAACTTTTACTTTGATATTTTGTAAAGCCTCTTGATTAAAACAAGAATCGTTATTAGTAATATACAATGGATAATGATAATTTACAATATTTTTCTTCAACTCATCAATTTGACGAATCAATTGCTGACTCTATTACAAGATCAAATAGCCCGGTATTAGAAACTAGAAGTACAAGTGCAAAAAGTGATAATGAAGCTTCTAATGTACCTATTATCAAAAAAACTAAATTAGGTCGAAAGGGTGGCTCAAGAAAACAGAGCTGGGTATAGAAATATTTTGAGGAAAACAAAACAATAGAAACTATTCAAAGTCTTAATAATCAAAAAATTAATATTGAAGTTACATATAGCATTTGTAATGTATTAAATGATTTGGGTAAAAGCTGTGATTCATGATTAAAAGTTTCAAGTGGCTTAATGTCAAATTTAATATCTTATCTTTTAAATTTATATGGTATTACACAAAACAGGTTTGGTTTATCTGAACAAGACAATGATAATAACAAAGTAATAAATAACTATTGAAAATTCGAATGTGCATATTGTTTGATATAAATCAAGTGATTTTATTAGATCCACACATTCAATACTGATAAATAATTAAATTAATAATTAATTTTGAATGAAAATTTTTTTATTTTATATAGATGATGCAAAAAAAAATTGACTTTTTTGTAAAAAATATATACTTTCATAGTAAATCAAAAAATGATAATCTTATTATGAGTCTCATTAAATTTATTATCTGTAGTGCCCAACCAATTAGTCTCATGTCAAGCCAATTTTTTTGTAAGTTTGTAAAGAAATTGGATCTAATGTTTAATATACTTAATGAAAAAAGTATTAAACAAATGATTTATAAATTGTATAATCAGTATGCTCAAAATATATTGAAAAATTTACAAAATTCTGTTGTAACTTGTTCACTTACTATGGACATGTGGACGGGTTGCAACAGACAAGGGTATCTTGGTGTTGCCTGTTTATAGATTGACCCTGAATTCAAAATCCATGAAATATTACTTTTCTTAACTTATGTTAGATATTTGCATACTGCTAATGTTATTTGAGAAACATTAGAAAATATGATTGCTAATTGGGTTTTTACTAGAAAGGTATATATGATCACAAGTGACAATGGAAGTAATATGAAAGTAGCAATTAACAGAATGATTGACATTGTAAGAATTCCATGTGCAGCTCACACTTTGCAACTTGTTGTCAGAAAAGGCCTAATGCCTGCTGAAGTACTTGTAGTAAGAGCTAAATGGTTGATTAACTTCTTTATAGCACTGAAGCAAAATAAACAACTCAAAGAAGCTCAAAAAATATTAAAGATTTTAGATAAAGATATAATGTAATTTTTTAATTAATTCTCTATACAAATAACTAAATTATCTTTTTATAATAGGTAATTAAAAAAACCTCTACTTATCTTCGTGTAAAAATGGATGTGCCCACCCATTGGAATTTGTCTTTTTTAGCTTGGGAACGTTTTTTGCTAATTAAGGATGCAATTGATATCATCATAACAACATTAACTGTTTCTAGTATCCCAGAAGCCTGAAGAGATACAAAAAGATTAAAAAAAATTCAATTAACTGAAGATGAATGAGATTTAATAAGAGAACTTGTTGATATTTTAGGATCTTTTTTTGAAACTACAGAAGAGCTTGGTGGTTCTAAATATATTACAATTTTTTATATACTCCCATCTATTTTTTCGTTAATAAAAAATCTAAGTAATTCCGATTCTGATGAAGAATTAAGTGAAGTAGATTTTGAAACAGATGACCTTGTATTTGATGACAATATTGGATTTATTGATGCTGAAGAAGAGGAAGAAGGAGGTGCTAAAAAAAGAAAAATCAAAATAAATATACCTACTAATACTAAAAATATGAAACAAAAAATTAAAAGCACATTATACAATGCACTTTTATATTATTGAGACTTATCTGATAGTAATGCACTTCTCACTTACCTTTTTGATCCAAGATGTAAAAAATTAAAATTTGCAGCACCAATTCAAAAATGCCAGGCTGAAACTGCTCTTCACAATAAGTATAATGATATTAAATCTTCTCATCAATATTTTACACTATTTGATAAACCAGTTAACTTTTATGAAAATCAAGACAATTAAGAAAGGTAGTGTCAGATTTATCAAAAATCATTTTTTAAGACAGTTTTTATATAAGATGCTTCTGAAGAGTTAAATGAGCTTGATTATTACTTTTCTTTACCCAAAATCTATTATACGTCAGATTCTTTTAATTGGTGGAATTCTCAAAAAATCTCCTTTCCTATTCTTAACAAGCTTGCAAAGCAATACCTTGCAATACCTACAATCTCAACTTCAAGTGAGCGACTTTTCAGCAATGCAAGTAATATGATGACTATTAGAAAAACGATGTTAAAGCCTAAATTATTCAAACGCATGTTGTTTTTAAAATGGAATAATAATGAACTTGATAAAATTTATACTAAAACAAATATCTTATAGTAAAAGAGGTGAATAATTAATTATATAATTATGTGTTTCCATAACTTATTATTAAGTAGATTTTTTTTTGTGTATTAAATTTCTATAGACCAATTATTAAAAATTAAACATTTTTTGAATAGAATTATATTTACTATATTAGAATTATATTTTTAAATTATATATTAAACAATTTATATATTTATTATAAATAAATAAATTATACTTAAAGGAAATCAACTCTTTCTGACAATCACTGTAACCAAAACTAGAGCAGAACCAAAGTGTAAAAAAAGTCACAACGATACTAGATAAACTTGCAGTGAGTGATTAGAATAGAATATTAGTTGTTGTAAGAGGAAGATTTTTTCTTAAGACACTAGACTTTAATAAAAAGTAAATAGACTAGTTTTTTTAAAGGAAGGTTTTTTGGCAAAGAAATTTTTGGAAAAACGAAAAAATTGGCTAGACCCCAAACGCAGATCTCTACTTGTGACACATAAACAAACAACGATGTGACAAGTTTACGAATTAGGTTATTTAACGTAAACAAATAAACAAAGAAGCAAACACGTAAACAAACAAATCAAGAATAGAAGTCTAGATTGTTATGCAGGAACCAGTAACACTAAACGGCCTGGGGATATCAGAAATGTCGAAGAGTTATGCAAAGCTTGAGGAATACCGAGGCATGTTTAAAAAATTGGTAAATGAACAGAATTTGATAATAGAAAATCATAAACCCAATATCTTGCGTAAAGATAAAGAAATCGCAGCACTTGTTGGTACAAAACTAGAAACAGTGTGTGTGTTCCAAAATGTAATTAAGCTTTACAACTATTGTGAGTATCTGCGAGCTAGAGAAAGCAAACTAGTCAGTCGAGATAAAAGTATAGTTTCTGAATTAAAAAAACAAGATATTAAAAGTTTAATAGACCACGAAGTTGAATATATTGATTATAGTATTAAAGAGATCCAGTCTAACAAGAAGTCTGGATGTGTAGTTAAAGAAGATAGTAAGCAAGTAAATATACTTGAAGAAGCAGTTGTTGTAACTCCAGAGAAGAGTAAAAGGTAAGATGAAAATCTTAGTAGAAATAAAGGCAAAAGAGCCAAATTAAACCACGATAGATTAGCAAAAGCTTTGGAAAAATATAATGAAATAGTAGTTGATAAACAAGATCCATTATTACAAAAAGAAAGTGTAATTGAAGAAGGAAACATTAAATATGGTGAGGTGCAAGTCAATATACACCAGGATACAGTGGTGGTAAAGCCGATACATATAATAGAAGTACCAATCGAACCGGAAGTAAATAAAGAAATTGGTGAATCAACGAATAGTTGGCCAGTAGAACATCACGTGAATCTTGTATAGTTTGAGACTCATACAATATGGGATATACCTCTCAAAGTACACCTTGCACAAGTACACAGATGCCTTCACTTTTATGGTAAAACAAAATTCGTACAGTGGAAACCATGCAGCAAGAGTAAAGCACTTGAATTCTCAATTAAATTTTGGAGTGAAAAGAGAATGAGAGATTTTAAGAAGGCATAGACAATTCATTTTGAGGATGGGAAGACATGCAGGGTGACACCTGGCAGTTTTGAAAGAGGAATACTTGAAGAAAGAGTATTGTTTAAGGCAGTAGTTAAGAATGTTCCAACATCAGCAGTTGAAATATTGCTCTTGTATCAGTTGAGGGTAGTAAATGCAAAGGCAGTGTATATTTCATATAATAGAAATTAGAATCAGCAACGTACAGCATTAGTGTATTTTGGATCACGTAATGAATTAGAGGCAGCATTAGCAAGAGAGGTGTATTATTTCGATGTCAAGCTGGAGTGGATTGATGTATGGAATAAAAGTAAAAGAGATGTAGTTGAAGAAGAGATGAGTAGAAACACAGTTAAGCCTCAAGATGTCAAGATAACTACGAGTAGAGGTAAAAAATGGAAGAGACAGCAAACAGTAGAGAGGGTATTTAAGAGCAGTGTGGAGGGCAATAAAGAAAACAGTGACCTCAAGATTGAAGAATCAACAAAGTCAAAAGGGAAATGAGCCAAAGAGTTAAACAAAGAGAGTGATCTTGAATCCAAGTTTAAAAGTATCTTTGATGAAATACTTGGTAGGCTTGACAGAATCGAAAAAAGACATTTGGGGGCCTCAGGCCCCAATCACTCCTAAGGTTGCCTTGGGCATGTATAAGAGAACTGAGGGGCTACAAGATAATTTGTATGCCCAGCAAGGTAGTACCCTTAATAATATTATGGACGATAGAAAAATAGAGACAGAAAAGATAAAAGAGTGTTAGGCCAGCATAGCATACCACAACATTAATAGTATAAGAGGCAACAAAATTAAACTGAAGGCAATTGCAGAGTAGGCAATCAAAAATGAAGTTGATTTTTTTTTTTTTTGGTATTAAGGTGACCTTTTTGGTTTGGGAAACTTTTTATTAGAATATAGACGAAGTTTTATATGTAATTATAACGATGGTATATCAAGCCACACGTGCACCTTTTGAGTGCCTATTTAAGTAGTCTGCCCGAAGGTTCTACACTATCT